CTAGGGGTTCGGGCATATTTAGGGCTCAAAAACATGCCAAGGCGAAGGTTAAAAGTTGCCGCCAAAGCTGACATGTCGACTAAGCTTGGAACAACGGAGAATTAAGTTCTCAGAGCTACAGCAAGGCCATATTCCGATCGCGGAGAACATTGCTTGACCCCTGAATCACACAGGGAGCACTGCTAAGTGCTAGCCTCAAGCATCCGTCCATACCCCACCACCCGAGCTATAGTCTAAACTCCTAGTATACCCCTTAACAACTCCAACAATACTCCCTGTATAATCCCCTATGTAACCCCCTTTAAGGAATTTAGACTATAGCTCATCTGATCCAGAAACCCAAAGTGAAGAGTCGAAGCACTGAAGTGCAACACCTTCAAGCCTGCACTCATCATCCCCATCTCTAGAACTCAGTTGAATCCGACACTACCCCGCTCCAGCAGCGTTAAGCACACGCCTGCCTCTAAAGTTTTTACGCAGCCCCCATATGTAATAAGATATATATATATATAGATGTATATATGTATGTGCGTGTGCGCGCGCGTGAAAGCATTAGAATGACAATGTGTACATATTGTATACGCAGGGGCTACTGAAAAAGAATATGCAACGTTAGGAGGTGCAGAGCTTCATTACTCAGGGAAGAGATTAATGATTATCCCCCAAGCCACCAGAGTCCAACGATCATCCTACAACTGAAGACCTTGGCAACAAACCCCCGACCTCCTTCAGTGAATTCCCAAAATCCACCCTAACCCGACGTACCTTATACCTCAGGAATTACGGTCCTGCATTTGTATTCTAGCATTCATACTAAGGTCAAGCAGCAATTTAATGTCAACAGTACCCCAAACCCAGAACACTTTTGAGGTTCCAAAGCAACTTCACCGACAGAGCCCAACCTTTGACCGGTCGAAAATGTTGCCACATACAGTAGTTGGGTGACACTTAAAAGTTCTGCCCCTCCTGGGTAGCCTACATGCCGGGAGGCATTCACACTGAGCCATAAATTTGAGAACCACTAGGCTAGATCCATGCGGGAGTTCAATTTCCAACAGGGTACTGTAGTAGGGAAGGAACCTCAGTATAGGCGGCTGTACTGCAATAGTTCAGGCAAATACCTTCAGACTACATCTGTTTAACGTCCTACATACGCCCTAAACACCAAACACTAAACCCTAAGTCTGCGAGCCTCGCCGGGACTGGCTGGAGCGGAACTTGCGCTCCGGAGTGCCTGTGGCAACAGGATAATCCCTACCCCAAGTGAAGGCTTAGGGCCTGAATTACAAGCCAAGCAGAAAAATCAGATTGTAACCTGCCTGGTTGTAACTTGGGGGTTTCCCACCTAGGTTTCAAGTTTGGTGGGGTTCTGGGCTTAGGGCTGCTTAGAAAAGATCTTGGAACCTTGCTGGCATCGAAGAAGGGCCTACAGCGCGGGGGCTCTGAGGGCATCAGTATGGCTTAGGGTTTAGGATTCAACGTTTAGGGTGACGCCTTGAAGGTTAGAAACTCTGGAATTCTTAGGTCTGCGCACCCTTCAGGACCTGATCGCTCCCACCACTATATGAACACTATGACCTCATAAAGCCTGTAAACCCCATGAGCTCTACAAACTCTATGAAGCTTGTACACAATATACACCCCACATGGATTTGAGGCCTGTCCGCCTGCACGATGGATCTTATGGAGAGACCCAAATCATGTATCCAGCTGTGATGACTGCACAACTGTACGCCCCCTGATTCCCAAAAATCAAACAATTGAGACAACGGGACGAATCATAAACGGATCATGGTGAACCTGAACCTGAAGTAGAGCTATGCGCGTTACAAGGACAGCCCATGGCATCTACGTGTAGGTCCTGTCAGATTCTCCACAAGAAGCCCTAGACCCTGAATCCCTAAATCCCTAAACCTTAAACCCTAAGTGCCTAAATCCCTAACTGGCTAAATCCCTAAATCCCTAAATTAAGCCCTAAGCCTAAGCCCATCCCAAACCCAGAGGTCTCCTCAATGAGCTCCACGACGGGGCCCTCTCCTGCTCCACCGAAAACCAGTGACAGGACAGCAGCGCTGCGAAGCATGAGGGAGTGTAAAGATGTCACTGCTAGCAAAGAATAGGAGTCCCTTTGTAAGGATGACGAATTCTGGAAATATGCATCTGGTTCAAGTTCCTAGGTCAGGGTGCTGGATATGGCGTCTAAACGGCTGCGGACTCGCGTGTCTTCATGAAAAGACACGCGCTCTGCTGCATCACACAGTAAGGCTTCAAAACGGGCCTTCGCTACTTTATGCTTGGGCCTCAGCTGCCAAAACATGGCGTGCAGCTGGTCTGGGCCACTGCAGCATGCATGTCTCTGCAAAAGTAGCAAAACGTAGCAACATCAGCATGGACAGCAGTACCACTAACATACAATGTTCTGTGTAAATCCCTGTCAGGTCAAAGCCGCAGCAAACAGAAAAGTGACAGGCACAAACTCATTGGAAAACAAGTGGGCCCAGCGTAGATTCCCTTGCTTCAGCTCTGACCAGGCGTTTCAGAGTCCATCCTAAAGCACCTGCAATTTTGGACTTTCGGCTGGTTAGTATGGAACGGACAAATTATGGAACCGATGTATTTATAAGGACAATTGGACAATTCCCTGGCAACTGCCAGTGTGTGGAAGATTGGAGCAAAAAGCTAATGTTAAAGCTACGCCAAGACAGATAAGACTCCTTGATCATCCTTGCATACCAAAGTTTGGGATACAAAGAGATGAAACAGGACAACTCTAGACTAAGCTTCAGAAAGAAACTTTGCTGACATATGCCCTCACACTCCAAAAAGGCTGATGCGCAGAGAGCACTTTTGCCTGCAAGCACTGGCAACTCTGCAAACTGCGGGATCAGGAATAACAACTATCATCGGCCAACAGCAGCTATCATCTCAGATGTAGCAGGCACCTCAATTGGGAGAATTCGGGCTTATAATGGAGAATCGAATGGAAAAGAAAATGAAAATGAAATGGAAACTGGGATTACAAGGTTTACAGGGGGTATATTGAGGTGAACAGCAGTACTTCCTTGCCGTTAACAACATGAATTTCGATACAAACTGCTGCGAAGACTTAGTGTGGGGTCGCCATGGTGCCAAGCTCTGTCATGAGGATTCTATGAAGGAACCAATATCGGATGTGTGTGCCGCTCAGGCAACCTCAATACAACTCCTTGTACTGACAGGTATTCCAATTCTTCGTTGCAGTGATGCGCTGGCAGCCAGAGCAGATGTGATCCCAAACACTGATTGTCGGACTCATTTTCTCTCAAATCTTTCGGGCTAATGGACACGGACTGGATCTTCATAAACACATACATACATAAATATGCTCGAGGAACACTGTCTGTACAGTTCACATAGAGCATCCTTAGAAGCTGTCGTTTGCCCACATGGGGCTCTTGCTAAAAGCTTTCGCTCGATGCTTGCCGCTTGTGGGTCAATAGATGTGCCCCAATGATAGCATCCTCCGGAGCGTTGCAGCATGACTGGCAAGGAAAAAAATTGCTTGCCGCATGCAAGTTCCAACTAAACTGTCATGAGTCATCTGCAGGAGCGTTGCGATAGCTACAAGAGCAGTCGCTCTTTCAGTATTTCATCAGAAAAGATGACACTGCGTCTGCTGACTCATCCATCGAGAGGCCCGCCTTTGGCAAGCATGGGTATCTACAGGCGGAAATTGTCCAAGTTGTTTGTCAGCAAATTCACCAAGGATGAGAAGTCCGCGTCCGAGAACACATGGCTTCCGCCTGGCCGTAGATTTTACACATTCCCATGTGGGGGGTTTCCGCACGCAAGGGAGCCTCAGCATATGGCTTGTTCTCAAAATTATGGGCCCCTCTTGGGCTACAGATTATTTTACGACACTTCTCCCGCCATTCCTCAGTAATGTAAACCCGTGATTAATAAATCCCTTCCTTTTAAGGGTCGTAATATTAGGATCGCTATTATAATCTCTATTATGGGGAGGGGGTTTGTTAATCACGGGTCTGGGTTAGCGGGATTACTTCACAGGATCTTGATACTCGAGTCCTAAAAAAACAGAGGCTTCTTGGGATAATTTTCAGAAGCTCCCACATAAAAAAAAAGGACCCTGTCTATCTATTCCAAAGTAATAGTGAGCGACACAAAAAAAGGACTATAGTTTCGGGAAACATGGTATACTTCTAACAGTTCATTTAGGGGCTTCCAATTCAAAAGTTCGGAAGTGGTGCCCAGAAAAAGGATCATAGAACATTGGCGTTGAGACTGTGGCCCCACAAGGAGACACCAGCACCTTTTCGGCAAGCAATTCCTGGCCATCTGAAACTGACACTCCCACCCATAACTATCAGCAAGCGTTGAAGGACTCTGCAAAGCCTATCCCGAAGCGGCTAAAATTGCTGATAAACGCGTGAACCCTAAACCCTAAAGCGAAATGGTAGTTTGCCTCCAGTGCGCTGGCTTGTATGCTTGTGATCCAAAGATCGCATCGGAGGCACTGTATCGCACCTGGAGAGTTTGGGACTGGGCTTGGGGGTCTTGGGCACCACAGTAGGACTCATAGGTTCCCCGTGACTACCACCCCCTACTACCCTGCTTAAGCAAGGTTATCTCCACATAACTAGGACTAATTACAAGGCCTTTAAAGGGAACTTTAGGCATGGTACTAACAGGCAGTATAAAGGGGGTGGTTTAGGGGAACAATCAAGTATTAGCTTGCACAAACATAGGTCAAGAAGAAGCGCGGGCAGCAGAGCTGACACACGTTTGAACCTAAGTTTAACTGCCAGGAGTGAAGCCCTAACGCCTAAACCCTAAGCCCCTATAAACCTAGTACCTATAGCCTACTTCCAGAAAAATCTGAGTGCATGACCGATCCAAGAGCCTCATAAGCTCCAGGACATTGCGCCGTCTCTCCTGAACTTAGACAAGCGCTTTAGACATCGGGGATTTGCGTCTAGGATCTTAGGATTGTGGTTCGGGTTTCACAAAGTGCTGGGAATATGATGAGTCTGTAGCACGATCAACCCTGTTAAGACATTGAACTTGCTACAGCTTTGTAAATGGCTTACATGCCAGAGGTCCTCCACAATTTTCTGTCTTTCCGTTTGCGTGCATCCAAACTCGGTGTCCATCTTCTCGCGGATACTTTCCAGAAGCCTGCCAACCTGCACAAACCAGCAAAGGTTGCAAGGAATCATACGTAAGAATCGTCTGATTCCCTGAAGCTGATTGGGGTATTTAGGTACTCTTGGGCAGAGCTTAGAAGAAGCACACACTACACTTCACTGTGAGGGCCCACTTCATTGGCCTTCTCGGAAGGTGCCGCGAACTTTTCAACTTGACGCTGGCCGTGGATCAGAGTGCTTACCAGCCAAACGCCGGCCTCGAGCATGGGTATTAACCCATAGGGACTGGTGCTTAAGTCATGGTTGTCTCTTGGGGCACCCTACTTCACTGTCCTCTCATTTGAAAGTGTTCCTAATATCGGCGAATATCCCTATCTTCTAACCGTTTGTGTGCTTGAATCTCCAGCATGTCAGGCGCCTGCTTGGTCACCTGTGCTGCGGGGTACGTCGCACAAAGGATCAAAGGGATGATCCCCGTTGGCACCGTGCTGCATTTGGTGCAAAAATACCTCAAAAACCGAGATTTCCCGGAGGACGCGGCAAGCTAACAACAAAGCCCTACTGAGCAACAGATTGCATGCCACTCAACAGCAATCAAGGCCAAGGTGCGTCATGGCAGTCCGTTTGTGATTCATGATAGCCATCACATCACCTGGGAGAAATGTAGGAGCCCTGGAACTCACAAGTTCCTATGGCTTCATGGCAGATACATAGGAATTATGACCCGTTATACTCAATAACTATTCCCCAGAATACCTCACCGTAAACCCTAATCCCTAAACCTGAACGCCTAGTCCCTGTAGACCCTAAACCCTAACCCCTACATCCTGGAGCCTAAATATCCCAGTCACCTGCTACAATCACTGCATCTTCTGTGGGCGGCAACCAGGCCTGCGAGGTGGGAAGGATTCCTGGGCCGCTGTTCTCTCATAAAAAAAATCCTTTGGTTTATAGGGATTATTAGGGTTTAGGATCCTTTAAAGGGTTTCTAGGGGTTATTAGGGTTTAGGATTCAGGGTTTAGGGTTTAGGGTATCCATACTGCAACAGAATTTAAGCTCCTCAATAGCCAACCAGAATCTGATGGTTGGCCCCTCATAGCACTTGCGTGGATGCAAGGAGGTTCGCTGTTGCGGCCTGCCTTACTGCTTCTCAGTAGGGATTTAGGGTTTAGGCTTTGGGGATGGGAGGTAGCGAAAAGAAAATGGAAACTACACTTTGGGATTTAGGGCTTAGGACTTCAGGAATGAAAACTAAAATGGAAAAAACTACGACGAAATTGTTCGGGGTTAGAAATAGGTTTTACTTCTATAGGGATTCATTCCTCCATTCCCTACTAAGCTGCCCCATGGGTCTGCAGACCGCCATGGCATCATGTTGTTGTTGAGCAGCGAAGCTTGCTGATAGGCCTTATGAGCTTCCTCAGGACTGGGGAAGGTAACTTCCACGTCACCCTTGTTCAAAATGCGAGCATGCCTCACACCAAAGCCCTGCATCAGCAGGTTGTTTCCCACCTCCGGCGCCCTGTCTTTCTTGGCTTTGTACTTCAGTTGCTCTGTGCTGGAGCCGTTCTTGACCTCAATGAGGCCGCTGGTGAAGCTGGCAGCAATGCACCATGCCAGCAGCAGTTGATTGTCACGATCCTTCTGATCACGCAACAGACTGGCAAAGTCTTGCGCTGCACTCTGTTGCGGTCGCGTCCGCACAGCCTTGAGGTTCACCTTCTCTTGGCGCCTCAATCTCATGCGATCCCTCTCTGACTGGGGAAGGGCATCGGCATATCCTAGCCCTTCCAAAACATCATGGATTTGAACAACCATCTCTTCCAGCTCATGCAAGCGTTCGAGGCTCAAGAAGTGCCGCGCACACCATTGGGCTTCTTCCTGGATGCTCCAGCCTGCACCCCAACGGGATTGATACTTGGCTGCGGCTTGCCAAGCTCTGTAGGCCCCAAGCCCGGCCATGAGGTCTCCAGGAAGCGCACGGTCTCGCTCTCGGACACGGCCCGGGCTGCAGGTGTCTCGCGCCTCCCAAAGCCATTGCACTTCCTGGGAGCTTAGGTCCATGCTGTCCACAAAGGGATCCCCTCGCTGGTGCACTGCAGCCAGGATAGCACAGTCCTGGAAACCAGACAAGACTTCAGAGACCTAGAGACTCCTTCAACGATTCAGAGCAACCAGAAAGGACAGCAAATCCCAGTCCTTCACCAGCTGCAGCCGCACGCCACTCATCACCAAGAAGCCGACATCCGGATCCAGCGGCATCTTCTGCAGGAATCGGCCAAAGAAGGTGGGCTTCGGCTGGGTTTGGCCCTTCGTCTTTGCCAACGCATTCAATTCCATGAGCCTGGTGATGGCCTGGTCCACTCGAGTTGCTGAAGGTGGGTCTGACATCTTCTGCAAGAATTCCCGAGGATCACCCAAGTTCGGCAGCTCGAAGATGGAGAGGAGCAGGTCCTCCAACCTGCAAGGAGATAGAAGGAAAAGGCTAAAAATGAATGTTCAGAAAATAGGGGTCCCTTCATGGGGCGCCCCCTCTTGCAAGGATGATAAACGATTATCACATATTGGGGTACATATTGAGTCTTCCTATTTATGCAAAGTCCCATGTGCTTCATTCAGCTTCCTGCCTGCTGTGCTTTATCTGCGGCTCTGCATGAGGCTGCAGGCGCTGGAAGCATTCCCTGCTGATGAGGCGTACAACTTCCTGGGATAGATTTAAAGCTCCGATGAAAATCTTAATCTATAGGGAATGTATAGATGTAGCGTCCCCATAAATATCTAAATCTATAGGGAATTAATACAGGGATGGTGATCCGTAGTAGTAGCAAAAAACATTCCCAGGAAAATCCCAGCTTCCCCGTCACGCACCCGACCTGTTCGGCCAGAGCGTTGCTTGGCCTCATCCTGGGTTGCTGTTATACAAAGGTTTAGGGTTTAGGGTTTAAGGTTTAGGGTTTAAGGTTTAGGGACGAACCTTAGGCATCCCTTCTAGAGGTTCTAGGGTTCTAGCAGGATGTATAGAGATATGCATATACTTACATTCTACCAAGTATACCCTAAACTCTGTATTATAGAGTTTAGGGATCGGGGCTTGGGGTTTCCTGAAATTAGGTGTAGCATTTTGGACGTCCGCATAATTAGGATTGTCGTGTGTTGGGGTCTGTATTGGCGTTCCCCTGGTTAGGGTACCATATGGGGACCCTGAAGGAGGAATAGATCTGTATAGGGATTTGGAAACTTAAGCTACATGATCATCATTTGGATTGTGCTGAAAATCCAGCATGACCCTAAGTACCATGGAAACTGCAATGGAAATGAAATGAAAGCTGCTCTCTAGAATTTAGGGCTAAGGCTTAAAACAACGATATAGCAAAGAAGTTGCCAAATCAAATGGAAACTGGGGTTGTATGGGAGATATGTAGGAAGCTATGTCCCCATAGTATGGGCATATTAGAAACGATACTTGGTCTCCTTTTAAGGGCACTTAACTCTCAATTCCTTCACATCAACCTAGCATCTTGACTCACCAGGACCAAAGTCAGGAGGCTTTGATTCTTGCCTCCATCCCAGCGGAGACGCTTCTGCTCGCAGGTGTCGATCACCAGATCCACATCAGGAATCGTGACGCTAGACTCGATGACATCTGTCCCCAAAATCACAACCCTCTCGTTCTGGCTCTGGGTTTCGGACAGCACTCTCTCCTGCTCCTCAACTGTCTGTCCACCGAAGATACATTTCACCTTGAGGCCTTTGACCTCATCAAGCCGCTCCCACAGCAAAGTCAGCTCCCTCTTGCCCGGTAAGAACACCAGGAACGAGGCCAAGTCCTTGCGGTTGGCGCGTTCCTCGTGGCAGGAGCGAACAAACTCTGCATACAAGTCGGACACTTCCTCCTGAGACCACTCGGCGGGAAATCCAGACACTGCCCAAACTCCATCTTGTCCTCGGCGGCTCAGTCCACGCCGCATGAAAAAGGGATAGTCGTCTATGTACTTGATGGACAGCTTGAACTGACGACACTCCTCCAAATCCAGCGGCTTTGGAATGGTGCCCCCCAGCACTGTCGAGAAGTACCGTGCAATCTTGTTGCTGTCCATCGCAGCAGACATCAGGATCACCTGCATGTCTTCCAAATCATATCACATCATGGAATTTTCCCTGTGATCCTTATAACAAGGACTCTACGGCTGAGCTCTGTAGGAACTGTGATGCACTGAATGTAAAGCCTAAACTCAAATAACTGCTCGCCTTGACTTGTTTGTTGTGGGACAAGACCCTCGTCACCACCAAGCTGAGCAGGAAGTCGATGTGGGCATCGCCTGGAGTTGTAGGATGCAGTTTCATGCTTCTACTTTGTAAGCCTGAACTGGCAGTATGTGTATGAGCCAAACTTACAGCAAAATGCTGGGATCACTGCGGACGACAAACACTGATGTTAGCATGCTCAACGTGCTATGCTATGTCTGCAGCTCCAGTGACGGATGTGGACTTCGTCTATGATTAGGTGCGTGAAGGAAGAACAGTCCTGCCATAACATCAGATACACTTCTAGCACTACTGCCAGTACCCCTACCTCTACTGTGCATGCGACAACGACGACGACGATGGCTGCTGCTACTACTACTACTACTACTACTGCTGCTGCTGCTGCTGCTGCTACTACTACTACCACTACTACTAGTACTACTACTTTACTTTACTTTTACAACGGCTACTGCTGAGGTCCTGTAGGCATTGGATCATTGCAATTGCCGTGGTAGCAAAGGTCAATCGCGTGCGGCCAGATCGACCCACCTCGCTGCAACCTGCCCAACCGTTCTGCAGCTCAGCAGCTTTCTGAACTACTGTAACAGCGAAAACTATTCTGACGATTGTCATTGTTATTCCTACTGCTACTGCTGATCCATCAAGACACTGTACAGAAGTTGTTGCCATTAGTGTTGCTTCTATGACTGACAATCATTGCAACATGGCTGACTCCAGGTCGGAGTCGTTGCCAACTCTCTCAAGGCTAAGTTCTTACTCAGCATAAACTAGAACTAGAGAGAATTCCCACCTTACAATCATCAATCACAGCAGCAGCAACAGGAACAACAAGCAACGAAAAATCAACAACAATAGTAGTAGTAGTAGTAGTAGCAGCAGCAGCAGTAGCAGCAGTAGCAGCAGCAGCAGCAGTAGCAGCAGCAGCAGCAACAACAACCAGAATCATGAGCATCATGGCTTTCGCGCTCTGGTTTGCCAGCCTCCGATTTTGTAGCCGACTTCCGTTCCAAGCTCAACACCTGGGTATTTCTTCAAAACGGGATCCCCTCACAAAACCCGCCAAACCTGACATTCTCCTAAGCATGTACAACTCTGACATCCACCTAAACTTCTGCAGCCTACCAGAAATGGCCCATGTTTAAGAAAATCCCCACCTCTCTCCCCGGCTACGCGACGCGCGAGACTGGTGGCCGCAACACGCCGGGGCTGCGTCACAAGGATACACCGTTCTGCGTCTTCGTCCAAGATCATCTGTGGAATTCCTGGGCAGCAACGTCTTCACCAAATGGCATGAGAGACCCTAGAAATGCCCAACTCGAGGCTGGCAAGATTCTGGTGCTTTTGCCACATCCAGTCGGGGCCACGATGATGGTGACTCGATTCGTCGCCACTTCTTGCAAAATCTTCTCCCTGAAGCGTCCCAACGGAGAGTTGTCGTAAGATCTGATCGGTTACACCGGGGGGTTTGACGGGCCAGTGCTAGAGGTAAGAGGAGTAGCCGGAGGCCGATGGCTTTGCGGCATCTGCTTCGGGCCCTCTTCATGAAGGCTTGTAGCACCATCCCCCTTCGGGCTGGTGTCCTGAGTCTCCTCTTTTTCCACTTCTTGATCTGGCTCTCTTCTTTCTGGATCAGACTCTGCCGCCAGCCATCGACGGCGCTCTAGGACCCTGGCAACAAAAGCCAGCACTTGCCGAAACTGATGCGGCTCTGGATGTTGTATTTCTTCTGCTGTTAGCGAAGGCTGCGATCGCCGCAGATCATCCGTCTTGGGGCATTGCAAGAAGCAATGCTCCAGCTGCTTCTCATCTGAAACGGGTTCCCCACACAGCTGACATGTGGCACCACAAAGTGTCTGCGCAGAGAGCACATGCTGCCACATGGCCTTAGCATCAAGAATTTACAAGACACCACAGAGGATGGCGGTCAAAGCCCAGCAGATCATCATGGAAGGAACTGGAGTAGCAAGAGGGCTAGTACAAGTGGTGGTAGTTAGTATTAGTAGTAGTAGTAGTAGTAGCAGCAGCAGTAGTAGTAGTAGTGGTAGTAGTAGTAGCAGTAGTAATAGTAGTAGTAGTAGTAGTAGTAGTAGTAGAAGTGGTGATGCTAATAGTAGAAGACGTGCAAGACGAGGAGTAAGGACCGGACCTTGCACTGCTCTTTCCATTCCTTCCCTGCACGTCTGATCTTCTCCTGCAGATCCTCTCCGGTTGCGCCGTAGGCTGGCAACAGCTTCTCCTCTGAAAATGTCGAGAAGCTCTGCTCCAAACCAGCTTGAAAGTAGAAGTCCCATGGCTTCACCTTGCCACTGTAGTGTATGACTTTCACGCTTTCAAACTTGAGCTGCAGCCGCTCCGCATCGGGACCTGCATGGTCCAGCGAGTATGCCAACTGATGAAGCTGGTAGTTGTACTTCAGATTCAGAGTGGTCCAGTTCTTGAACCAGCGGCTGAGAAAATCCTGCTCCGGACCATTGCTAGCCTCGTGCATGGGATCATTGCGCTTCACCGAGTCCAGCATCTTCCTCAACTCTTCCTGGCATGGCTTCAAGACTGCAACTCCCAGGTTCATGCCGAAACGCTGCTGTCCATTACGATCGTAGCAAGACAGGGAGACATCCACGTGGGAAGGTAGGCTCTTGTGACCCCTCCGGAGCGCACATGGCGGCTTCAACTGAGCCAGCTCGTCAATGTTGTCCCTCACCAGGAGATCAATGTCCAGCAAAACCACCTTTTCGTAGTCATCGCATCCGAAAACATGCAGCTTGGTAAAGACATGCCGGAAGCGATCCTCGCTTCGAGAAATCAGCTTCTCAACGGCCTGTACGTATTCCACTTCCCGCGTCTTCCAGAAAACTTCCAGAAGTCCGGCCCCAGGCACAGCCATGACATCTGCTGTGTGCAACAGCACAAGGTCAAAGGATGTCCCGCTCGTCTTCAAGGAATGGCCCAAAACAAGGGCTCCTAGCACGAATCGCTGAAGCATGTCTTCATCTGGCCCGAAGAGCACTGCCACAAAGGCGTTGCCCTTGCCTTTTGGGCGACGTCGACTCGTATCCAATGCTGGTGAAGCAGCCACTTTGCTTTGCATCTCCAGAGGTTTTGCACATGTCGGACACCAGCTCCGGCTGCTGGCTCGCCTGCTGGGATTCAGCGTCAGAACCGGTTGCTGTGCCCTTGATGCGGGCGTTTCAAGCCCTGTCACCTGGATGGAGTACAAGCCTTTGGAAGACTGCTGAATTCTCAAGCGCAATGGGCACGAGTTGCGATGAGGGCAGCGCACCTGCAGGCTTGCGAGCTTCATCAAATCCACACGCAAAGCCACTCGACCATGCTAAAGGCCATGATACTTGCAAAGGCTCTACTTCAAACAAGGTCTAAACACGTGGCCTCCTCCACGCCCGGGGCAATCTGCAAAGATGATGGGTTTTTCGCACCCCTGCCAGTCAGTAAAACTGTTAGCCCAGCTGCAGGACCTTCATCAGCTTCAACTTCCCTGCAGGGTGAGATCTCAAGCCAACTGTCAACTTGCATCAAGGAAGCAATGAGGCAAATTCGACAGGCAACAATATGGCTCTAGCAGCTTTGAACACGGAGCCTTGTCGTTGCGTTTGTGCTTGCTTCTGGTTCTGGCACAGAAGAGTTTCCCACATCCGAGGCATGTCCTTCCCCAACTCCATCGGCAGGAATGAAGTCTTCAGAGCCAGCAGAAAAGCAAAACTTCACGACCTGACTTATGTATCGCAAACCAATTAGCATGGCATTTGTCACGCTCAAACGGTCAACTAGGCTCATCGCATGATCTCGCACCCAGTCTTCCGAAAAGTGAAAGTCCTTCACCTCTCCGATGTACTCACGGAAGTTGTCATTCGAGACAATCTTCACGAGGCATCCTCGCTTAGCTGCGTCTGCAGCCATTCGAATGATGAACTTGTCGACATCTTCCCTTCTTGGAGTCGTTGTGATACGGTCAGCCAGATTTCTGGCATCATTCGGATACTCATCATTCCATTGGTCCATCAGGGCCTGTGCGTGCCAGGTATCTTTAGATCAATTCGGGATGGCTCAAAACAGTGAGCCGCTTCTCAAACACAACTTTTAGGAAAAGATGTAAGGGGCATGTTGAGAGAGGCATTTATCCGTTTCATGTTTTCAGTCGCCACTTGCAAAAACAGCTGGCGCCTCGTAGACAAACGTCGAGACTTTCCAGTCCGGACGATGCTCCACGTGCCAATTCAAAGCCTTTATCAGCTTCCTCAAGTTCGGCTTGTCAAAGCTTTCGCCTGCCAGGACTTGGATTTCGCGTATTCCTGTTTCATATTGCTGCCTGACAGTGTGGTGAATCCTGGACTCAATTTTGAGTTATGAAGCGTGAGGGACATGGAAAATGTGAATCCCCCAACATGCTGTCGTATCCAGCCCTTGGTCAGAGAAAGGCTCACCCTGACAATTTTGAACTCAGTGGTGATGAGGAGCGAATTGGGGAAATTGGTTACAGGCACTGCTATGGGGCACTACAGAGGCCCTGCTACAGGAATCCAGCGCAAAAGTCGCTAATATTCCCTACTCACCACGCCCCGTAGTAAACTTAATAAACCCTGAATCTCGAATGTCACTTGAAACCCCAGGTGTCCATTTTCTTTCCAGTTGTTGTCTGCTTGATTTTCCATCCCCTAAACCCACTGCAAGCCTCCTTGGCACGCAATGTTGCGGCCATCCAGCAGGTAGAGCTTTTCAATCTCGGCGCTGGGCGTCCCGGACCTGCTACAAGAAGTTCTAAGCAAGCGGGATACACAGGATCTCTGTGTAGGGGTTATTGAAGTTGTATAGGCTTGAGGGTTGAGAGTTTGGGGTTTAAGCTTTCTTGGGCTGAGGTTTAGGGTTTAGGGACTGGACATATTGAAGGTTCTTTCAAGAGACAGTGGATGCCAAAACAAAATGCCTTGAAGCAGGTTCCCCAAACACGCCCTGAACACTCTTTTACTCAAAGCGCAAGACAAACTAAGTGTTACAAAAGGTCAATATTCTGGCTATGGGGGGTTTGACGTTGCGAGGGCCCTGAACCCTAAACCCGCAGAACCCGAAAGCATTCATAAACCCCAAAACGCTATAAAACCCGTCATGCGCACCTGCTTGGCTCTGCATTGGGCGGATCGCCTGACCGGAAGGGGTTCAGGGGCTTAAAGAGGAAGTTTTTTAGGGACCTTGTAATTCAACAATGTGAATATTTCTTGCAGAATCTTGCAAAGCGCTCAGGTCATGAAGCGCAGTCAAAGACGAAGGGGGCAAAAGAGTAGAAGCGCTGAAGCTTGACTTGCTCGCAGTAAGTAGGGAATAAAGGTATAGGATCCCTGTAGAGCACCCTATATGAGCTTTAGTCTAAACTCCTAGCATCCCCCTTAAGAACCCCTAATATAATTCCCTATATAACCCCCTTTAAGGAGTTCAGATTATGGCTCACACAATATATTCCCTCATTCTCCACAAACCCCCCAGTAAGAGCTGTGTCATGGAATAACGGTCATGCTTGGCATCCAAGCGGCTGTCTGCGGGTGCAGAGGTCGAGGATGAGTCCTACCAAAGCAAAGGGGTTTAGGGTTATAGTCCCCTTAAGTAGATAGAATATGGCTTTGGGCCTACTTTAATAAGATCCCCATATACCCCATATTCTATCTACTTAAGGGGGACTATAGGGCCACTGCATTCCTATCTCCAGAAAGGCGGATTCAAGAGCTTCTGATTTGAAGGCTTGCGAAAGTCTCCTTCAAGTTCTCGATCCGCTCCATCATCTTTTTCCGGTCCCCTAGCTTCATGCCAAACTCATCCTTAAGTTCTTCGCTCCTGAGGCAGGGGGCCTATGGCTGCATTGGTTTACTCCATGAGGGCTCCCACATGCAAACAAGGCGCGTGAGGGTAAGCAGAACTTCCCCGTCTACTCCTTGCTCACGGAAATCCTCGGCAAACTTCTGAAAACCGCTTTGTTCCAGCCATCTGGAAACATCGTCCACGGTCCATGATTTCACATTCGCCATGGCAGAGAGCCTGGTAACAAAGCTTTCTGAAGCTGCACTGCTGCAGAGCCAAGAGCGAGAGAAGCATTTGCAGAAGCTGCATTCACACAGCCAATCCCAAACGTCAAGACAGGTTGCAGAACTGCCATTTGACAAGTGGTCGGGCGCCTCTGTGACAAAGATGTTGGGGCGGGCGGTAGAAAGTAACATTTGTTCTGAGAAATACCCACACCCTCACATTACACAACTGGCACTGATGTCCATGAACTAGCCTGGCATCGAAATTCTCGGCTCCACGCCCGCTTCATCCGCGCCATCACTGGTTGAGGAGTAACTCGACGAGAATGGCCTGCACACCATTCAGGGATTTCGGATTTAGAGTTCACGGGCACCGCCAAATTCCAACCTGCCGCTCAGATACACCCACGACATACATACTGAACTCAGCCCCAAGAAACATCAAAGGAACAACCTTTGCAAGCCAGTGGCAGGGTCTGGAAGACCTTCTTGAAAAACCCTTGAGGGGGGTTGTTCCCACAGGGCCGGACCAGAGGATCATCCAACAACCATGCAGGCTGTCAGCAGAACATTCCACGGGCGACCCTATTTCCGGTTATGGGTTCGTGAGATATACCAATGTACCGCTTGGTAGAGGAACCCGCCACCCACACTTAAGGATTTTTAGCCCGTCTAACTGCAGGTAAATGGAGTTGCACGAGGTTTTTGTCAAGCTGCGCTGAGGGCGCCGTGGACTTGAGGGGAGAATGCTCTGCAAGCAGACACTCCTTGTGGCTCGTTCTTCTGAGAAAGGCAATATTTGAGAAAAGCTGGCACAGAGGAGGGGCACAGTTTATGCAAGGTACAGCGCTTATTGAATGATTTAGGGCGCACATGGCATTTAGATATTGGTGTGTTGAACTGCGCTTGCTAAGAGATCTCTGCGCCGCACCTCCGACAAAACCAGTAGAAAACACCGACCCTTGCACATCTTGGGGCACGAAGGGTATCAGGATTGACCCTTGCCTGCAAAGCCTGGCCTCCTCACTGGGTCCCGCTCTGGTTTGCACTCAGTTCCCTGACATTTCTGAGCAGACCTTGAAAGGGGTTTTGCAGTTGGCCGTGCTTTGGTACTTTAAGTCTGGGTAATCGTACGTCTCGTCCGGGATGCTCATGGCACCCTCCACGCATGAAACACAATACTCCATGCATTTCACTCTGCTGGAGCAGCATTCTTCGACAGTGAAGCATGTTGCTGGCTCACAGCCGCCAATGCTGCTGGCCAGCACCGCAAGCAGCGCCACAAACCCGGCTCGGCGCACAGCAACGCCAGAATAGCTTCCATGAAGGCTCCCCGCTGCATGCGAAGACCAGCGGCATAAGAAAATGCCAGAAAACGCATCGATGAGGCTCTTTAGAGCAAAGGCCTCAACAACGGCGAGCGGGGCTCGAAGAAGGCTGGCCATGTTCAGAGAAGGCTGAAATCGGGGAGTAACAAACTACCAGAGCCAATGGGGCTTAAAAGTCCTTTAAGGAAATTAATTACGGATCTCTGGGGCCTGTGAGGAAAAATTCAAGGGACATTGTTTTCTTTAACTAATGGCCATACCAAATGCTGACTGAAAGATCATGGCATACAGCCCGGATGAGCCAGCTCCAGAACCTAAACTCTCCAAGAATCTCCCTTCCGTGAATGTACTTAATCTACCTCCACGGGTGGATACAGGGCTTAGGTCTTTTCTGTCGTACGTCCGGGTAGAAGCACTTGCCCCAGTTTTAGTGATAACTTGTAACAAGTTAACGACTTTAGATATTCTCCAAAATTCAACTTATAAATGGCTGTGAACCTCCCTGTAGGATTCTTCGGCCGGTGTGCAGACGCACTAAGCGTCTAAGCCTGTTAGGGGTGACCACCCACCGACTAAGATGAAAACGGACAATGGCCAGTACCTAGAGGTCCTACTATGTTTTACTTTTTCCACTGTTAGGGGTGGGGGGGAACTATCTATGTCATCCCGACCCTTGTCAGAAGATCTTAAACGGGTCTTATGACCCCCTTCAGGTGGTCTTTTTGTTGGTTGAATTCCCCTTCAAAGGCCACGGAAACCCTGCCTACAAGGTCTCATGACCCTTTTCAAAGGTCCTGCGAAAACCTTGACAAGGCCACAGCCTGCTTTCAAGGCTCTTATGACCTTCTCTAGGAGGTCTCATCAACCTCCTCGAGGGTCTCGCGACTTTTTTCAAAAGCAGCCTTTAGTGGACTATGGGTTTCGGTGAACGGGCCCGTAGTGTATTCTATCTGCAACAAGACTTTGGAAACTTCAATTTCAACCAACCAAACAACCAACCAACCAATCATGAAACATGAGATGAAGCTTCTCAAAGAAGGACTTGTACCTGCAGCGGCCTGCCAGTGAATGAATTTGAAAGGGAAAAGAAGTAAGCAAGTATTCTCATACAAAAGCCCATTACATGTCCCCAAAATAATTCTCCCCAGAGCAGGGACCTACATCTCTCAAAAATTCCCAGGTCCGAAACCAAGGACAGCAGGCCTGGAACCGTGCCAGCATGCGGTGGTGTCGAGAAGAGCTGGGAGTGCCGAAACATCCCTACAAAAGAGCCGAGATCATGAATTACATGCATCATGCTCAAGAACGACACTGCGAACCTGCTCGCAATCTTTAGATGTAGTCAAAAATGATGCTCAGGCCCAGAGCTGATCTGGGCCAAGCCAGTTGTCAATGTTGCATCCGCCTTCGCCGCACTTTGCTTTCAAACGTTCATGCACATGCGTCTGTACAGTGTCAAGTGACAGTTTCAAAACTGGGCTGTTCCAAAAAAGGGGCCCTAGACTTTGACGTCATCTAAGGACTGCAGAATTCAGAACCGCCCAGCTAGCAAAGAGCCACTGGGGCATACGTGGTGCTGCAGCACGTGAGGTGCCATTGCCCAAGCATGCTCCAGGAGTGCTCACGAAGACTGTCAAAGATACGACTCAAAAGCCAACATTTCTAGCTGGCCTGTTCAAAAACGACTCGCATGAATCTTTTGTACAGTCGGTCGAGCTCGTCATGTTGCTTGTGCATGTGCATGAGCTAGCTTGCTCTGTTGAACCTCGTGGTGACACAACTGCCGAAGTCATTGTACCAGGATCGGAATATTCAGCACGCACGATGCCCTGCATGTTGAGACAGGCTTCGGCATTGGACAAGCACATGTACTTGTCAGCTTCAAGCTTCTTGTGAATTAGCAACTTGATCTCTGCATCTTGCACCTCATCACAAGCAAGCTGCAATTCAGTCTTCAAGGCGGCTTCTGTCACCTTAACGCCGTCCAAAAGCTTGCAAACAACATCGTGGGCCACACTCTGTATACCCCTGCACGAGGATAGTGCCTCACGAGCCAGACGCTGCCTGTCATCAGCTGTAAGGAGCTTAGGTAAATGCGGCCTGTCCAGAACTAGGAAAGGCGTGCCATTGTCACATTCCTTCTGCAAACAAGACTTGGCATGTGCACGGACAGCGGCGTCTGCCTCGCCAATCTGGACCACAGCTTTCGCGGCCGCGTCGACCACACGATGGTGTAGCTCACCAGTACAGGCTATTCGATTCAACTTCGGCACGGCATGCGCAGCTGCACGGCCCATGGAACCCAAAGCCCGGACTGCAGCCAGTTGGACCTCCCAGTCTTTGCATTGAAGTGCCATCTCCAACTGTTGCAAGGCCATCACGGATTTGGGGCCAAAAGATGCCAGGGCAGCTCCAGCCTGAAATCTGCTGCCCTTGTCCAGCCTCTCATCCGAGAAAATCTCAATGACACTGTCAATAAGGTCAAACAACAAAGCTGGATGCGCATCGCAAATCCTGACCAGGGCTTTGGAAGCTTCAGCGCTTGCTGATGGATATCTGAGCAATTTCAACAGTCTCTGCGCGGCTTCCTTGCATTGAATGCAGCCCAGTGCACGAATGATTGCACGGTGCAGGTCATCGTCATCCACGCAGTCCTGACTGTCCAGAGCTTCGATCAACATGGTCCCAGCTTCAGCTGCCGCCTCACCCATGTCACCTATGGCATCAGCCACTGCACAACGCAGCAAGCTTCCGCTTTTAGAATCTTCAAAGGCCTTCACCAAAGAACGCAAGGCAACCACAGCGGCAGGGCCAATGCGGCCCAAGGCCCAAGCCAGGCTGCGCTGCACCTCCCTGTTGTCCTCAGCTTCAAAGGCCCCAGCCAACGTTGCCAGAGCCGGCTCAGCCAAGTGGCCCATGCCACCTATTGCCTCGGCAGACGCCCTTCGAACTTTGGCGGACTGGTCTATGAGAGCTGCCTCTAAGGCTGGCAGGAACTGAAGTAAAGGTAAGCCAAAGTCATGGTCAAAAGTGCGGCACTCTGTGATTTCAGATTTTGCAGGCCCAAAACAATTAGTTGCCACTGTAGCGCAAGTCGCTGTCAACACCGGGTCTTGGCTGGCTTGGCTGCAGTCCAAGGAACGCGCCTCAGCTGCTCCGGAGCCAATGCTACCCAGGGCCCATGCAACGCAGGCCCGCACCTCTCCACTTTGATCTGCATTCAGGGCCGTCACCAAGGCGTCCACAAGCTGCGAAATTTCAGGGATGTCGGGTGTTGCATGACCAAGCAATCCCGCCGCTTTGGCGCCACGGCAGCGAACTTCCGTGCTGCTGTCACCGCCTGATACCATCTTTTCCAACAGTGGCACTGCTTCTGCTGTGAGGCCAATGTTACGCAGAGCTGCTTGCTGATAGTCCCGAAGCTTTCTAGATTTCTCCACAGACAATGCCAACACCAACGTTGGCACAGCATCACCTGCCGCAGGCCCCAGCTCACACAGCGACATTACCACAAATTTGCGAACGGTCTCATCTGGATCCTGCATGCCTTGAAGTAGACCCGGAACAGCATCTCCACGGCACAATTTGTACAGGGTAAAAGCGACTGTCCCACGAACGCATGAGCTTTTCTCTCTTCGGAGCGACTGGACCAAATAATCCACGGCGGCTTCAGAC